ACTGGAATATAAAACAAGTTACGCCATCTGTTAGAAAACCGCACGAATTAACCGGTACCCCTATTACTAAAATACCTCCATTTTTCCATATATACTCTAATTTAAAAATGTTTAAATCAACAAAGCCCTGAAAACACAAAACACATTGTTGTATAGATGATACATATTAAGATAGAGAGACAATCTTTTCCAAATGATAAATAGTGGTATGAAAACTGGATTGCGCTGTTTTTCGAAATTGAAAAAAATCTGCACGAACTCAAACGATAGTCCAATATAGGAGACGTTATTAATTCACAAGTATAGCGGAATTTGCACAAACAGCTTTTCCATTAGGAAGTAAACTCACACTCACTATTTAGTAATAGTTAATCCGCACAACATGATAGGCGTTTGCTCAATATTCAATACATGTCCCGAACATTTATTTATCATATCCGAGCCAGACTTGAAAATGGCCTATACGTACATCTCATACGTACATCGTCCAGGCCATTGCTTTCACGCAAAAATATTGCATGAGTTCTCTTCCCCGTCAATGCTCCTTAAAAAGCAGGAAGTTATAGGCGAACGACCACTGGAGGGAATGCGAGAAGGTTCCCTAATAATTTCTTACTTCAAAATCTACTCCTAATTTTGTTTGAATAATTCTTCGCATAATGTATCTTCTTCCTTCCTTCGTGGTTTTCTGAAGATACATTCTGTTTTTTTTTGGAGATTTTCAACGTCGTTTGTAGCCCACAACTTTTTCTTATGAATTTTGTTAATATGTCAAAAAATTAATCGATTAGTATTTGCAAAGGTCTCAAAAGGATCCGCTATTAAAGATCAAGAAGTAGCGTTGAAATCAAGTATGTTGCAAAAGAAGGAAAACTAGTTAGGAAATGTGTGAAGCAAAAAAAAAACGTTGGAAATAATCGAAAATAACGTAGGATGCGACAAACATAAACAATTCCCCGAACTATTAGGTTGGCCAGAAAATAATTTCGGTTTGAGCAATCGCGGCACCAATTTTCCGCATTTATTCGTCTTCACAAAAGCTTA